GGGAACCCAGACAGGTGCTCCTAGGACTTGAGGGTCCAGTACTGCCTGCCCCAGGAATGGGAATTCCCAGGGCAAGCGGGACTGAGCCCCTGAAGCATGGGGAGTGCCTGCCTGGGGTGGCTAGAGCACACAGACAGCTCCAAGCTGACCACACTCTCCCACCATAATTCTAACTGATATCTATTGCAATAAAGCAGCACAAATTCATACTACTTACGTCACAAATGAATACTACTTATGTCACAAACTTTAGGCATTTGTGGTGCAACAAAAGGTACAGCTATAACTTCTATAAGTTACAGGTGCTTTGCCTTTGTGTCACAAGTGCCACATTTCTATAGCAGCACAAATGTGTCATCTGCTTCCACCTTAAAAAAGTCATACAGATTCTACAAGATGATCTTGCTATTATAGAGACTGGCAATTCTCCCAAGTGTCTCCCCAAATTCTAAACTATATTTATCCACAATGAAGGCGATAGCTCTTGAGCAACCAACAGAAAGAAAGATCAAGATTGAAGGCACAAATATTTTTTCAGACAAAATGAAGCAAAGGGAAAACAGAAAACATTTCCAAAAAATCACTAACAAAAATTTTCCGAACTTTACAGTGTTTTCTCATATTCTTCCAAAGTTTAAAGAAATATCTCATCCTGGCATGAAATGTGATATATACATTTTCCGAGCAATTCCTTTTGAAGTGACAGTTTGTGTTGGGATCCAAAAATGAGTTTTACAAAGTTCCACCCATGACTAAAAAGGATATTGCTACTTCATAGTAATGTAAGATATTTTCAAGAAGCAAGAATATATAACATTTAAAAACATTTAACCGTATAGAATGAACATTTTTTTATTCATAAATATTAATGAAAATGTGCATGTTTCAAAGGATGCAAAAGAAAGAATTTTTTAAAAATGTGTATGGTATGCAGCAATTTTAACAAGAACAGATATCCCTCATATTCCCATGACAACCGTGAAATGTTAAATATGATCCCTTCTGTCTTTTGCATAAAAAGATACATTAAAATGACTTTTAAAGTGGATTATTTATTTTCAACACCTGTAAGAAAACCAAGAGTATCAAACAATCCACCAGAGAGAATTAATTCTAGTCTCTAGTTAACAATAGCAGGGATTTAAAAAAAACCCTGAATAGTATAGTGGCAACATCTTTTTAAAGGGACACTATCTTGCCTTAGATATATTTGCCTCCTAATTAAGCATCACTTACAAACATATCCTGAACACCAAAAAAGACTGAAACATTAGCAGCTTTCTGGAATAAGTCTTACAAAAGTCTCAAGATCAAGTTATTTTTATGCAACCTAAAATATGTCCATAATGATTAAGATGTTCCTTACTAAACAGGTATGTTAGGAGCTAAAGAACACTCCAGGTTCCTGAAAAATGTTTCCAGAAATATAGCATTTCGTGTCTCTGCTCTAAAAATAGTGGTTTTAACATTATTGCTGGTCTCATCGCCTACTGGCATCTTAGATCAACAGATATCTTTGTTCAGGACACCTGTCATTGTTATCTTATTTAACATCAACCAATCCTGAAAGCATCCCTTTTACTATTATTTTTAGATAGACAATTTTACTGTGTAATATTGCTGCATTTGCTGTTAAGCAGCTAGTGCCTTTTTGACCTACAAATACCTGCGCTTCTGAAGTAAGAGTATTAATTCTTGTATATAAACAATTTGCATGTTGGGATATGGACAAGGGTTTAGAACTTACCACAGAACAGCTGAAATGCAATAACGGTTCCCGTGCCTGCCATTATCCCATGGTAATGAAATGGTAACAAATGAAACGGTTTAGTTTTTACAGTAACTGTTGTGTAGCTGCAATTATCCCATAGTAAATGAAACTCACTAAAGGCAACCCTCTCTTAGCGCATTTAATTGGTTCCTGAAAAACCAAGCATTAAGCAAAATGCAAGTTAAGCAAGACTGCAAGCATCTGATGACCCAAGATGGCGACCACAATTGTTTTTAAATGACCCAAGATGGCAACTGCGAGTGTGTAAGGAAAGAGAAGAGCCCCAGAGAAGTAAATTGGTCCCACCTGAATTGCAAAGAAGTCTGCAGGGCTCCTTCCTCACCTGGTGTTTCAGGAGGGGAGGGGAGTCAGCCAGAACTCCAGGATAAAAGGAGAGTCAGGGCAGGCAAAAAGGGAACACCAGAAACCGAAAGTGGCTGACTCAAGCAGAGAGACGGCAGGGAGAGCCAAAGGCACTGAGAATGCAACGGCAATCGGGTTTAAGAGAAGCAGAAGTGGAGGGAGCTGCTAGAGGAACAAACCCTGAAGGAAACGCCTGGAGAGAAACTGAAACTGCCCTGGGGCAGTTTGAAGGTACCGTAAAGCCCCTTATTGGCAGGGCTGAAGAAAAAGGGTACCATAAAGTTGGGAATATAAGGGCAGGAGAAGTGCCAGTTTGTTTTCGATCTCCTTTTCATTAGAGTGAGAGGGAAGTCATCCCAGAAATCCACTGCGTTTGCAACTATCAGGACAATAGGCCAGTAAAAGAACTGGCTAGGATTAATGGCAGGTCTGTGCAAGGCTCCAAGCCGAGTGAAGTACAACTGGACCTATCGGGGGCTATTGATTGGCCAGACCTAGAGACCCACAGAGCATTTGTACTGCTCGGAGGCAGATTGTTGAGACTACTGAATTAACACCTGGTGGAATGAGCGAGGGCGTCGGGGTTGGTGGAGCCCTCATTACACTAAGACAGATTTCAAGCGTGAAAGCGTCAAAACCCACACACCCCGGCATTCTATTTTCTCCCATAACAACAAGTCGTGGCAGGTGAGATCATGGACATGTGGGAGAGACCAGCAAGATGTTGCAGTGGACTTCAGCCCGCTAGCTAAGGTGCTACAACTGTCTTGGTGCAGAAGATAGAGTAAGAAAGAAAAAAAAAAAGAGAAAACAACTCAGACAAGGTGATGAGCACCAGAGATTGACAAAAAACATAGAACGATAGAGACAAGCCTCTACCCCAAACAGGGGCAGAGTTTTGGGGTGAAAGCCCGCCATTGGACAAAGCGTTATAACGAAACTCGCTGTGTGCTAAGTGAAATCAGTTATCAATTTAAAATGAGCATTATAGTGAAATAGCATTAAGCAAAACAGTTAAGCAGGGGTTGCCTGTATCTCTCACTTGAATTGTATCATTTACTCATATCCCAAGCTGAGCAAATTTGTAAATGCTTTGGGAGTGTGATGGAAGTTATTTTATGTAGCCTGTTCACATCTCTTTATTGCTAAACCCCAGTAAAAATGCCAAAATTTTAGAGGCCACATTCACATTCTGTTCTCCCCTACAAAACCCTTGTTTCATCCAAACTCATTCCTTTCCTGCAGTTTATCTGTCTTCTTTGGTGATAAACAGAATAGACATGTCTCCGAACCTTGAACAAAATTGTTCCCATGAAAAAATTTCCATATAATGTTACCCAAGCTGGTTTAACTTGAGGCTTCTCCCTTTAGGCCTCTTATCTGTCCCTCTGAGTAAAGAGGGATGTTCAGCCCTTTATATCACTGAGCTTGTTATAATGAGAACTATTTAGTCTCAGTAAACAGGTGGGTCAGTAAAACAACTCTGTACCATCTTTAATATATTGTAAACCAGGATACCATTTTATACTCTGACAGTAAAAAAATAACTCCTCCTGTGTATTTGTAAATCTTCAATACATTTGAAAGTAGCACTTAAATACTACAGCTCAGACTGAATGGAAATAGATTGTTCAGGTAATAAATGACATCATTATCCTTTCTATATGCGACACAAAGGAAAGGTTCAATGCCAAGTGTTAGTTTCATGTTACACTCGGTCACTAATTCAAAAGTTTCACTCTGTGGCAAAAGATCTAGTTTTCCCATGGAGACAAGGTTAAATGCCAGATAAAGGATTTGCTGTTAGAAAATTAGGAAAACTGATGCCTACAAGGTGATAAAGCTCTAGAGAGGTAACCTGAAACAATCAATTATCTAAACCCAGAACAATACTTTAACTTTCAGCACCCTAAAAACATCTACAAAGGATAACATGAAATGGATTACACTCTATTTATATAAGGCAAGAAAAAAATACACTATCATATGCCATTTCCACATGGGGTATGGAACTGCTATGCTGTTCTATATCACATCAGTATACCTTTTACTTTTTTCAACTGACATAAAGAAAAAGAAGACTACTATGTGCTTTCAGTTAAAGAAGCTACTACTTGCTACTAGGAAGTATCTTTTGCTTGCAGTCAAATATGCATTATGTTATAATAAATTAGTCTTTTAACAATATAGTTTTAAAAAGTAGGTTTCTTTGAAATTCTTCTTGAAAAGTAATCTGTCTACAATCAATGAGATTTTGTGAAAATTATTAAAATAAAAAGGGTTTCAAAGCAGTGCTGTACTTAGCTTCCTTGGTTTATATTTGGCTTCAGGCTTATTTAATACGCTTCCACGTAGATAAAAGTAGTATAATTTTGTCTTCATGTTGGGTGGCCAAAAGGTTAAACATCAAATTCTTAGTTGTGGGAAAATCCCAAAGTAGACAAAACTATTTTGATGCTTGGAAAAGTTATATTTCTAGCAAAGACTACTAAGATGTGCAGCCAAAAGCCATTAGTTGTTCCCTCTTAACTGTGAGTGAAGGACATTGTTCTATAAAAAATATTTATAAGCATAACAAGCTGTAATGTACTTAAAATATTGTGAAGAAGGTCTTGTTCACAGCAGACTCTTATATGAGACATCCTCATGAAATGAGTGTTTAGCTCTAATGATATCTATTCTAAAAAAATAAAAATAAAAATATTAGCATTAAATATTTTACTTAGAGCTCATAAAGAAGAACTATTTACCCTACAGTAGTACAAGAGGTAGTCTATATCCATCCTATTACGTGCGTATATGCACCTTGTGCATGAGACCACTATTTGTTTTAATAGCAATGTCCATAGGAGCCTTGAATGCCTACCCATCTTTGTCTTTCTCTTTGAAGACTCTGAGGGCAGAGTAGTCTCAATCTTCCTGGAGGCCTTTTGTACTTCAAGGCCTGTACTGTTGAGGATTCTTAAAAAGGAAACAGAAATTGAATCACAAGAGCTACACTGACAACATCTTGAAGAATCTGTCCCTTGTCCTTCAAAGGACTGAAAGTGGTATGAAGCTTGCAGTTCACTGACATTTTGTAATAAGGTAACAGTCACAAGAAAGACCATTTTGATAGGAATGTGGTATGTAAAGTAAGCACTCTGATACTGATTCCAACAAAGGCTCCAAAAATTTTGGGATTATGTCAGAGTCATGTCTCTGATGGAGGACAAACAGCAAAGAGGCATCTTGAAGAGTTATCCTATATGGCATTAGAAGATGAAGTCAGACAGTACCTGAATGTGACATGAGGTATCACAGATACATACACAAACGAGGTGAAAATTATGCAAGTCAAACTTTCACCAGAGTGTTTCAGGAGCAGAATGGCATCCAGAATCTTCTATGGTATAAATCTAAAGAGTCAATATTGCTCTACATTGCTTAAATAAGCAAGCTGTCCCATATCAGAGAAGTCAGTCTTTCTAGGGCAAAGTTTCTCATACAATGCAAAAAACTCATGAACTTGTAGAGAGCTCTATCAATAGTAACCAATCACCCAACAGCCAAACTGATGGGTGCAAAAAACTGCAGGTCTGAATGCATTATTTCACCTTGATTCTGAAATATTGTGGGGAAAATAGGCTGGAGAAGATGAGGAGAAGGAGGGCTCAACAGATACCTGTAACAAATTCAACAGAAAAACTTTATGCCATCATATGATGACAGAAACAGGCACCAGTTTTCAAAGGATTGACACGTACTCTTTCGACACAGTGACACATACTCTAAGAATATTTAAGTTTGTATTGATATTAAAAAAAGTAGTTGTAAGAACCTTTACTATCAGTAAAGTCATAGGCTGCGAGACCCAGTGGGTAGGCCACTGGGGAAAGGCAGAATCCAGAAGTGGAGCCCCAGGTACCCAAAGCAAGGGGTAATTCCGGGAACGGTCAAGGGTACGGGCCAAGTCAGAGTTCTAGAGTCAAATTACCAAAGCCAAGAGGAAATTCCAAACAGCCACAGTCCAGAAAAACAGATAAGCAAGGTCAGAAGTCAAACCCTAACTGACTGTTGTCTGTAAAAGCCAGCACAATATAGTCAACAGCATAAGCATAAGGTTTTGCTGCTCAGACCTGATGACGCTCATTGAATTCTATTCCAACTATATGGTTGGTTCAATAAAAGATATCACACTAAGAAATCTTTACCTCTTGCATAATTCCTGAACCATTGAAGCCATAATATTGGAGTTCCCAACACAGGGGTTCCCAAACTGTGGTACATGCACCCCTGGCGTATGGTACGCAAGACATCTCTGAGGGTATGTGGGAGAAATAGTGTATGGCAGACTTAATTTTCAGTATAATAGTTAGCATGCAAGGGGTTAAAATATATGTTTTAACGGGTACGTGGGCAGCTGGTAAATCTGGAAGGTGGTATGCAGTAAGAAAAAGTTTGAGAAACTCCACTCTAGTGCTACCATAATTATAGAGTAACAGAAAAATGAGGTGGGGAGGGACATCAGGAGGTCGTCTAATCTAATCACCTGCTCAAGGCAGAACGATCCCTGTCTAAACCACAGAGATGTGTGGTAGTACATTTTCTGGAAAATTTTCCGGCGCTTAATTTTTCCATGGGAAATTTTCCATTTAAAAAAATTCATTGTTTCATAAAATTTATTAGTAACAATGCCTGGATGCCAGTATAATATTAGGCAAGCTTGGCAGTTTCAAAGTTGTAATTAATGTTTTTCAGGTGATTATGCCTAGGAAGCATGTGAGAGAGTATATATATGTTTTATTGATTTGTAAACAGGAGGGTAAATACACTCACATAATAATCCAAACCAAAAATCAAATTATGAATTCATCTAATTGGCGAATACAATGAAGACAATATTGGCAAACTGCAAAGCCACTGTGAAAGTATTCAACAATCATCACGTTGCTAATCAGACTTTGAAGAAATTACAGAAAGAGAAGCAGGGGAAGGAAAGGGCACCTTTATTGCCAGGAGAAACTAGATGGGGCTCTGCTACAAAGTTTGTTGCACACAAAGAACTGTTTGCAGTAAGCTTCAATACAAACACAGTATCCCAGATTATTCCCATGAACATTCAGAAGCAGATTCTCGACAATGAGGTGTTCTGGGTTCGAGTGCAAGGAGCATTCAATTTGCTACTACCAGTTTCAGTGGCTATCAAGAAACTTGAAGGAGATACACCAAGCCTTTCAAATATTCCAGAGTTATTCAGACAACAGAATGAAAATCTAATTATCTTTTACCTTTCTTCACCTCTATCCAGAAGAAGTAGTTGTAAAATAAATGTTTACTAAGAGATCTGAGTTTTGCTCTCATCCAGTTCATCAGGCAGCAAACCTTTTGGATCCTCAACACAGAAGACAGCATTTATGAGAAGATGAATTATCTACCGCTCTCAATACAATTATGGAAGTAGCTAAGATTGTCCCCAACATCAACAAAATAGCCGTGATGACAGACATTGCCAAGTACCATGCAAAAGAAAACGTTGGAGCAAAGACATCATTTGGCAAGCAGCAGAGAATATGTCTCCTCTCACATGGTGGAAAGGCTACTGTAACATCCGACTGTTGTCCAGTATTGCTTTAAGGATCTTAAGCATTCCACCAACAGCAGCTTCTTGTGAACGGAACTGGAAGGCTTTCAGCTCAATCAAGACAAAAAAGAGGAATAGACTAACAAATGAACGCACCACTAAGCTTGTTTCCATTTCTCAAAATCTTTTGCTTCTGAAGAATCAGTCAGAGGCACAATTAGTGAAGAACATGCAGTGCAATGAAAAGTTGCCCTCCCCATAGACTCACTGGTAAAACCGTGCTTTAGCAAAAGAGAATGTGGTTCAAGTAGTTCTGAATCAGATTTGCCTCAATTCCATTCTGAAATGGAACTAATAAGTAGTGCAAGTGATTCTATAGATAGTGACAGTGACACTGGAGGCACTGCAATGACCTCAGTAGAAGAGAGTTAAACTCTGTTGAAGTAAATGAGTGAACAACCATGGCATATAATGGACAATTCTTTGGGTGTGCTAAAAGCGTGTCAACAATTTTCAGTGCCTTCATTTTTTTTCTTAAATTTAAACAAACATTGTAAGTGTAGTACATGCTATTGTGTATTGTCTTTACATTTTTACAAGTATTCCAACTAATTTTTTCTACATAAAGCTTTGAATTTGTTTGAACATAACATTTAAACTACAATAAGTGTGCTGTATTTAATTTTTTTTTCCTAATCAAATATTTCAGTTCAAATACTTGTAGCTATTAGGACATAAAATTAACATGGGGGTACTCTTTTAGTTTTGTTTACTAAATATAAGTCAAATAAACATGCTAAATCAGATCACACTCTATTTAGGGCACTGGAAATTTTTCCAATTCAAAATTTTCTGGAAAACCCACATCTCTGCTACATCATCCTACGCAAGTGTTTGTCTAACCCGGGGTGGGAAAATACAGTCCATGGGCCATATCAGGTCCAACAATTGATTCTATCTGACCCCTCCCTCCTATCCGGGAGCCAGAGGGAGGGCTGCCCCCTGTGCTGTTCTGCTCTGCTACAGCCAAGGCCAGGCCAGGCCAACAGAACTCAGACTCCTTCACCCCCCTGCATCCACGCCCCCACCCCCTCGCCTGGTTTCCTATTAATGCTGCAGCTGTGAAGTCCTGGCACTGTGGCTACTGGCAGCCAGGCCTGCACAGGATGGGACGTGATGCGGTGCACTGAGTAGCTGTCCTGCTAACCAGCCCACCATTATGAGCTGCTTCTCCTGCAGCACCACTAGTCTGTGCTGGCCATGGGGTGGAGTTTGGCTTGGGGCAGCTGCCCCTGACTTTCCCAGTGGGGCATGGTGGTAGCAGTGGTTCTTTGCAGCAGGTGGGTGGGATGGGTACTTGTTGGGCTGCATTGCACCCTATCCCTTGTGAAGGCTGCCAGAGGCCACAATGCCAGGATTGCACAGCGGCAGCACCAACAGGAAGCTGGGCAGGAGGGGATGGATGCAGGGGGTGGAGGAGTGGAGAAGTCTGCATGTTGTGCAGCCCAGCCTGGCTTCAGCTGTAGCACAGTGGAGCAGCACGGGAAGCAGTCCTCCTTCCTCTGGCTCCCAGCGGTGGCTGGTGGGCTGGATAGGAAACCGGTTCAACAGGAACCTCCCTGCCTCTACCTGCACCCCCCGCCCCAGCCCTCAATGGCTCACTGAGCCCTCCAACCCAAATAATTGCCCACCCCTGGTCTGACCTTTTCCTAAAAAACTTTCCGGGGGGAAGATTCCATCACCTCAATCTTTAACCTTTAGTTCTTCCTAATATCCAACCTAAACTTCTACTCCTGCTCCAAGTCCCATCACCCAGACAGAGTTCACTTTCCTAACTTTAAAAGTAACTGAAGAGCAAATTTTCCTAAAAAATAAAGTTTATTTGGATCCTTATCTTTTGAGAGAGATTTTGCAGGTCCAAGTCCAGGCTATGTCAACTATTCAAGAAGAACAATAACAAGGAACCCAGGGCAAGACAATTATAAAAATATTTTAATTCTTTTGGAAGAACCTGATATCTATACATTGCTAGTTTGGTTCAGATGTTGCCAACAGGGAGGCAGGAGGAGTCCACAGATTGTATATTTCCATGACTTCGTAATACTAGATGCAGAAATTCATCTAATTTATATGACTGTTCTTAAATCAATTTGAAAGGTCTTTCCAAAGCCTCTGCCACCCTCTTAAGAAGATTTTGAAAAACCTTATAAATCAACTACTGTTATACAGACTGTTGAAAGCGTTGCTTCATCTGCTAGAGTATGAAAAGCCAAAAAGAACACAAGGATATTTTGTTGTTCCAACATATTTTCATTTTTATTTGGCAGTTTCTGATCTCCTCTTCTGACATCCTGATAAGCAAATTTAAGGACCTGTGACAGTTGATCTGTAGAAGA